AGTCTGTCGGACACGCCTGACATAGTTGTGGAGGGCAGCAGCGGTGGCTCGGGCAGTGCTGGACATGGGGTGGTGTGTCTCGGTAGCTGGGGCATGATAGGCCAAGGCTAACATCATACGCCGTGGCCAGAGCTCGAAAGGGGTGGGAATGTCCTTAGCCAGGCCGTAGAAGGGGTGCCGAGCTGTTGGGGCGGCAGGGGAGGGCAGGGGAGGGAGCTGACTGAGTCCCTGGACCCTGGCGTAGACGCAAGTGAGATGGGTGTAAATCATCCCCGAGCGATACACTGGGGCCCATTGCATACGCCCGTCGTTGCCGCGCTCCACTGGGGCCGCTGGGTTGCCCTGACACATCATAACCATAAACTCCGGACGGGTGGGCCATCGCCCGTGCACGGCAACGATATCGGCTAGACATCGTAGCCGGTTGTATGCACCATGGCTACACCACCGTCGAGTTGGGGGGGAGTTGACAATGCGAGCTGCACATTTGCCATTCGACATGGTGGGCTCGTAGGTCGTGAGCCACACCGGAAGCTGCATAGTTGTCGCTGGGGTGAGGGGCAGCTGAACGCGCCGAGCCATCGGTGTAGCCGACCACTGTCTCCACACATCCATCCACAGAGGGTGTAGTTCCCACAGCTTGAGCCACTTCGACTTGTAGTGGGGGTGGTATAATAAGAAGTCAAATGGACAGGATGCACGATGGAGCCGACCCATAGACCTCTCAAACTGGCGTAATACCAGTGGTTGCCAAAGTGGACGGTTAGGTGTTGCCAGGGACATGGCACGTTGAAGGATCTGTAGCCGTTGTGCACGGATCCTGGACGCAACGTGAGGTAGCCCAAGGCCTAGTTTCGAGTCAAACTGCAGGCATGCAGCAAGCAGAGGACGGTAACGGTCTGTGGGAATAATCTTGCGGCCGAGGATGTAGCGGTTGAGCATAGACTGCCAGCTCTGCACCATGGCGGGTGGCACAGGTAGAGCGGCCGTAACATGCCACAAGAGTGAGAGCATGACAGTATTGGCCAGCAACCGACGCCCTGGGAGCGTACGAGCACGGCAGCCCCATTGTTGGAAGCTGGCCATAAACCTCTCGTGGACGAGGTTGAGCTGGTGGTCGGCTGGGAGCTGGTGGCCAAACATGAGTCCAAGGTACTTCACGGGTTGGCCTGTGGGCACAATGTTCAGGAGGCCCCCGCCGTCCGTGTCGGCAGGGTCGAGGTGGCCGTTGAGAACCAGAGTTTGACATTTGGCTTGGTTCAGCCGAGCACCAGACACAGCACAGAACTCCTCAACGATGGTCATCTGCTCGACAGCAGAAGGCAGATCCTTCGACAAGAGTGTCGAGTCATCCGCAAAAAAGATGCTAGTCATGGTGTCTCCGTGTGGTAGGGAGATTCCGAGATGAGGGTGCTGGCGTAGCATGTCTCCCAGCGGCTCCAGGTATAGCACGAAGAGCAGGCATGACAGTGGGCAGCCTTGTTTCACACCCCGGGTTGGACGGATGGCTGGACCCAGTGTGCCATTGAAGAGGAGGTGAGCCACTGGTGAATTGTAGAGCAGTCGGACCCAGGAGATGAATGTTGCACCCATGTTCATCTCCGCAAGCACTTCAAACAGGAAGGTTTGGTCGACCATGTCATATGCCTTCGAAAAATCGAGGAACGTAGCATAGTTGTCTTGGTCCTCCAACGTGCAGTAGTGTTGGAGGGCTTGGACCATGGTGACGTGATCATGGAGTCTGCGTCCGGGCACAAAGCCAGCTTGGGTTGGGTGGATAAGCTGGGGTGCATGACGAGCGAGACGGAAGGCCAGGGCACGAGACAACACTTTCACCTCCACTGGCATAAGGGAGATGGGTCGGTAGTTGCCAGGCAGGCCTCTATCACCACTCTTGTACAGCAGCAGGGTGATGGCGCTGCGACGGTGGTGAGGAAGGAGGCAGCCATGGTGGGTGAGTTGGTAGCTGAACACCAACAACAACAATTGCAAGAAGATCTCTGGGGCCACCTGAAGGAACCCTGCCGACCAGCCATCTGGACCAGGGGACGCTCGAGCGCTGTAATGGGCTGGTCGAGACTCTCACGGTCCACCAGTGGGAGCCGTTTCGTCAGGACCTCCAAAACTGCACGGCGGCGATGGTGGTCAGGCGGGTCGGCTTCCCTGGGTGTCGCCATGACGGATCGCCAGTGGGCTGTAAGTACACGTTGGACTGTGGGCACGTCTGTGGTCGTCGTGCGATCCACTGTGACGCAGTTGATGGGCACCTTGGTTCCCAGTGGCTTCCGAAAGAAGTGAGAGGTGCCTCGTTCATTGGAGTTGGCGTGGAAGTCGAATTGCCGGTCGCGGGCATATTGACTATGCTCGGCCTTGGCGGAGTCGTAGGCTAGCTGAGCTGCAGCTACATCGGCAACGTGGGTGGCCAGGTCACCATAGTATGCCAAGGCTCGCTTTGCTGTAGCCAGTCGGAGGCTTAGGTGTTGTAGATTGGCCTTGGTCGATTGGGTGTGTAGCCGATGACATTTGATGAGCTGGCGGCGCATTCTCTTCAGCCAGCCATACCACATCGCACCATGGTTGAGACTCTCGTCGGCTCGCATTCGGTTAAGGAGTGCTGAGGCCTCCGTGGTGATGGCTCGTTGGATGTCGGGGTCAGCTAGCAACTCCCGTGGCAGCCGCCAGTAGCCCTTTGTTGTGGTGGATGGGCTATGCGACAGAGTCGCGGTGTGGGTGAGGTGGTCGCCTCCAAAGTGGTTTGGGTCATACGTAGCCTTGGGGTTGAGGTGAGAGACCAGCTCGTCGTGTAGGAAGAGATAATCAAGTCGATTGACCCACGCCCAGGATCACTGTAGAGCTGTGTAGTAGGGTTGAGTTGGCGCCACGCATCCACCACACCAAGTGCAGTT